GGGGGGGGGGGGGGGGTGGAAAACTGAGATGCAGCCCACCGTTACATTTGTTTCATGTCCCGTGAGATCATGAACACACACAATAAATAATAATAATAATAATAAAAGTACTGCAGCGGAAAAAAAAAAAAAAAGGCAGTGAATAGGGCGCACATAAAAAAAAAAAAAAAAAAAAAAAGATAATGAATATATATATATATATATATATATATTCCCCTTTTTTTTTTTTTTAATCTTTTTTTTTTTTCTTTTCTTGTTCAATTCCCTGTAAAACTGCAGCTATGGCTCTCAAATGTAGAAGGAAAAATAAACAAAGTTATATAATAATTGTAATATATTTATATATAAATATATACAAGTATTATTATTATTATTATTAGTAGTAGTAGTAGTGGTAGTATTAGTGGTAGTAGTGGTACTGGTAGTATTTTATTTTGCCTCTCAAAGGTCGTCACGCTGGTCTATAAACTCATACATTGGATTTGTATTTTCAATGCCGACATTCGTCATCCATTTCGCCAAATCCGCAATTTTCGATTCTTCGGCAAGAGCCATCAATTTACTCATTGAGCTGCATGTGTTTTGGTTACCCGCTGAGGCCAAGCAGTGATCTGCCAGCCGCCCCAGTAACACTCTTCCGGCGTCGTAGTATACAGCCTTAAAGGATGTCTTAAGAAGGGCTTCCGGCTTCTTACGCAGCTTGCCTGCAGTCCGTTTGCCATGCTGCAAGAAAAAGCTCTCTGTAACGTAGGCAAGTGCGGAACAGACTTCGGACTGTGGCTCCGCTGACACATCAAGACCGCGCTTTTTAACCGCCTCCTCGCATACTTCCTTAGCAATATCCCTCCAGACTTCCCAGAAGGACGCATTGGGCACCTCACGCTTCCCCTGTTCGCTGGTGGGCTTCTTGTCGCGGTTTTGGTAGGCGTAGCGTGCAAAGTCGGCCTTCTCCTGGCAGTCAGGGCAGGTGAGACCTCGGTCCTCCAAGAAATCGCGGAGCTCCCGTATCTTCATGCGCTTAAAGTCCGCCTCCGTCAGCTCGGCTGCAGCGGCAGTAACCATGAAAGCCATCCAAAGCAGCACCAGCAGCCATGGAAACGGGGCAGCGCCATTGCGCAAGTATCGTCGTGGTGGCATTTAAGCTTTGCTACACAAGGACCGGGCTCTCGCTAGCCAGCGAGGAAAAAGACATATATAATATATATATATATATAAAAAAAAAAGAAGGAAAAAGTGAAAGACAGAAAAAATACAAAACGCATGACTGATGGCCTGCTTGCGTGTATGTGTGTGTTTTTGGAAAGGGAAAAGAAGAGAAAGTGAGTCGACACGCGCCACAAAAAATGAATCTTCTCATCCTCCTCGATGGCATGTGTTTTCTTTCATTTATTCATTTTTTTTTATATATATTTTTTGTGTTTGTGTTTGCGTTTCCCCCATTGTCGGCCTTCCACCTTAAAAATATGTACCTTCTTTTTTTTTTTTTTTTTTGTATGGATTGTCTTAAACGAGAGCCGAGCCGGTGATCGCCTTCCTCTACGATGACTCGGAGTCGTCGTCGTCGTCAAAGGTACGGTGACGCTTCTCGCTGCACCCGCCACGGTTCTCTGCATGACGATGATGACGGCGGTGCAACTCTTCAAACACCTGCCTGCTGACCCCGTCGAACTCCTCCCGCGCAAAATAAGCCGGGCTTGCCTCCAGCAGCCACTCGTCGGCCACTGCCGTCACGGTGCGGATGTAATTATTACTGGTGAGTACAAGCTCGTTAAACACGACGAACTTTGGACGGCGGTTAAGAAACGTGGAAGGGAATAGAAGACACTTGACATCGTCCTTCAGCGTCATAAATTGATTCTTGGTTGGCAGCGAGAGGGCAACTTTGGTGAAGTACCCGCGAAGAATGGCGCGGCGTATCTCATTTGCGAACTCATCCTTGACGTCAGTTTCTCTCGGGGCTCGAGTCGGTGGACGGGAATATGTGCTGCAAACATCGCGGCCCAGTCGACGCATAACGCCAAGCAGCTGCCGGTAAATGCTGACGGCCTGCCTCATGACACGTGGATTGAGGTAGTTTTCCGATGCCCATGCTGCACTTTTGTTATTGGCGTCGTAAAATGCATTAAAGGCGTTCAAAAATGCGACATGGTCCCCTGTTGGGTGGCTAAACTGCTCCCGGCACCGCATTGCACGCCCTCGTTGGTCGTTGGTGGGGGTCACAAAGGGACTTTGGACGGATAGCATCGCGCAAATACGTGCAATATCGTCTGAACAGCCATACTCGGGGCTATGTAGCAACATCGCCGCCATCTCAGGTTCTAACGGAAACTCTGCCATCCGGCGGCCAATTTCCGTGATGTCTCCGTCGTCATTAATGGCGCCTAAATAATTCAAAAGCTCCAGCGCCCGCATGAGCGTTTCCGGGGCCGGTGGTTCCACAAAGTCAAAGTTCACCAGGTCTTCCACACCCATCATCTTCATGTGCAAAACAACGGAACCCAAGTTACAGCGCAGAATTTCAGGGTACGTCTGCGGCTGCAGAAGTGTGTCAAACGCTTTGGTGGTGTAGAGGCGGAAACACTTCCCCGGCTTGGTACGACCGGCACGACCGCAGCGCTGCCGTGCGCTCGCTTGACTGATCGGTGTCACCAAAAGGGACTCGACACGCAACTTTGGGTTAAACACCTTCTGCTTGGAGAAGCCACTGTCGACGACAAAGACGACACCGTCGATGGTGAGGGATGTCTCCGCCACGTTCGTTGCCACGACAATCTTCCGTGTGCCGGGCGGGACCTTCTGAAAGACCTTCCGCTGCTGCTGGGGCGGGAGGGCGGAGTACAACGGGAGAACCACGACAGGCCCCTTATGGCAGTCCGCGCTGCTGTGCTCCGCCATACAAATCCCTTTCTGCAGTCGCTCCACCGTCTGCTCAATCTCGTCCTCGCCGGTGAGAAAAATGAGAATATCGCCCTCACCCTCGTACAGGTGAATCTGCGTCGCCGTGCGTATCGCCGCCTCCACGTAGTTTGCCTCGGGCGATCGCGAGAAGTACACCTCCACACCAAACATACGGCCGGCAATGTGCACCAGGGGTGCCTCCGGAAAGTACACTTGAAAGCGCCGCTCCTCCAACGTTGCGGACATCACAACGACGCGTAATTCCGGTCGCCGCGGCAACAACTCCTTCACGACACCAATCAACACATCTGTGTGGACCGTACGCTCATGGGCCTCGTCGAGGATGATGACACTGTACCGCCGCAGCAGTGGGTCGCTCATGGCCTCCCGAAGCAGCATGCCATCCGTCAAGTACTTTAGCCGCGTCCTCTCGCTGCTCATGTCATCAAATCGAATGGTGTACCCAACCTCCTCACCGAGCGTGACATCCAACTCCTCCGCCACACGCTCACTGACGCTGGTGGCCGCCACACGACGCGGCTGCGTGCACGCAATTGCATGTTCAGGGTTCATCTCCAGAACAAACTGTGGCACCTGCGTCGTCTTACCGCTCCCTGTTTCTCCCACCAGAAGAAGTGTCTGGTAACGCGCCACAAGTCGCTGAATTTTATCCTTTGCAGCAAACACCGGCAACTTCTCGCGCCCACGCAACAACGTGTAGTAGCGGGGACTCAACACCCGTCCATTGTATGGGTTCTTGCCAGCCTCCATGGCCCCCCTCCTCCCTTCCTCCCTCCCTCTTCCTCTATCAACAACAACAAAAGAAAAAAAAAAAAAAAAAAAGGGAAGCCTCCGCAATCACACGACAATACCACCCACAACCGCCAATAAAGACATATATATATACATATATATACATGTATACAATTTTATATATATGAGTAGGGATATAGAAAGAAAAAAATATATAGCAATAATAACAGCATACCCATGTACGTATGTATTTACACATACATGTAAATTGATTCATGTGACGCATACAACATTATAAAAATACAGTAAAATCAATAACGGTAACAACATAGCAATATGAATAAGACCATTTCTTACACAGAACGACAAGAAGCTAAATATATATATATATATATATATACCGGCCAAGAATGTATCAAGTGTATTATCAACGTGAATGGAACTACAACAGAATTCCCTCGCAGAGTTCACTCCGTTGACCCCTCAAATGCACTCGACATTATACCGCCAATGTAACCAATTCTCCTAAACTAAACACACAAATACACAAACACGCAGAGCCACCTAAATAAATGCGTTGCTAACAAGCCAGTGGCGAAGTGCCATGTACTCCCGCAGCCGGCACTCACCGTAGCACACGTAGTCCAGACCGCTGCCCCCACGAGCAAATGCCTCCGTGTCCACTGCGCAGTCGGCACACTCGTCGGGCACGCAGCCCATCACGATTGCCCACAGCGTCCAGTGGAGGTGCGACGCCAGCATGCCGAGCAGCAGCTCCACCAAATGCGCCTCGCTTACCGACACCTCACTCACCGGCACCCCGCTGCTCGTCGCAAAGTACCTCCGCACTGCCTGCAACGCGGCAGTGCCAACGTCCCCCGCCTCCCCGTCAACGTCGCCCCGCCGCCAGGCGTCAACGATCAGCTCCGGCAGCCGCGGGTACTCCTCCCCAAGCCCGCGCCACGCATCCGCCTTCGCCGCGGGCGGGACACGCTCAGAAACTTGATGAACCCGCGAACACCGCCTCCCGTGCACGCGTGTAGTCGTAGTCAGCTCGCACAGCGTGTTGCCAAGGGTCAAGCAGCGGTAGTTCGCATCCGTGTACTCAAAAGTCATGAAAAG